AGGTTTGAAGGACGTAAAACCCTGTGATGCAAGGTTGAAAAGCCCAGAACAGTCGACTGAATATTACATTACCGTTGACAGAAGTACCATCTGGGGCATACGCGACAATGATTCCATAATATAAACAGTTCCAGGAGCATACGTCTGAAGTGCATGCAGGTAGCGTGATAGTTATTTATATTAATCCTTTCAGTTTCCATATACCTTTTCAATCTTTTTGGTCTTTGCTAACCACGCCTTTTTGTATAACGGGGTATAACTGTATACTGTAGTGATGTGAGACATTATGATTTTCACCTTCAATGACGGATCATTGTTGACGAGAGGTAGGATTTCTTGACATATTAGATCATAGTTTAGTTTACAATGATCTTGTGATTGAGTAGAATTAACGCACGTGTGGGTGGACATAGAACCTATCACCCAACAATCACTTCTCAACATGTATGATGCAGTGAGCCTGAACATACAATTTAGGTGAACACACTTGAGTTTGTACCTTTATGGATTTATCTGATCTACCTTAAAATCGACAGAATTTAACATGTGAAACTTTTTTATAACTCGCATACAATCTTCTCTTGAACTAAATTTGTCTTTCTCTTTTAAATTTTCATCTAACTGCATATACGGGTTGAAAAAACATCTGATGACGGTTCATCTTCGCCCATGTTGAAGTTTTCCATGTGTGAAGGTGGTGTATAGATTTAATTTGGAGGTATTTCAAGTATCACATCATCTTTACAATCATCATTGACCATGTTATCAAACTCTAACTCTTCATCTTCCTCTTCTTCGTTAACGACATTTACTTCTGCTTATTTGTCTTTGAGAGGATCAACCACTTGTGATTGAGTTGGTTGTGACGGCTGAGGCTCCTGCAACACAATGTACAACTCAATCGAGTCGTACCCAAAATACTCATGACTAGAAAACATATTTTGAAAGTCCTCATCATCTTGAACCTCTACCTTATAAAATATTATTTGATTCTCACAAAAAAAACCGGATTTTGGTAGAAGATGTGTGACATTGGACCTTGTTCAAGTTTGAGCTCCATACATTTTTAAAATACGAAAGTTGGCTTTTCTATTTAAACAAAATTGAATGTTATCAACGTTTCTAAATAAAAAATCAAAGACATCACAATTGTACGTCTCTCCATTGAAATGTGCACTGATAACATATTGTCGTACAGAGGATATTGTGTTTGCGTGTTTGAGTATGTGAGAATTTGTTTGAGTGGTGATAACATAAGGTGCATGCAGGAGAATAAATAACATGCAGATGAGATGAACAAGAAAAATTTGATCTAGCAATGAGGCGCCAATTGGGATGGTGAATCCTCATATAATTGGCCTAAGGCACCAACTGGGATGACGCATCCCTTATAGGCTTATCACGTAACATGCATGCCTGCCACCTACACTACGTCTGCCACCTACGCTGCCACCATAAGTTTGGCCCACGCCACTTTGAATGGCGCATGCACTATAAAGTGCATGGAGGTGCCAATCCACTTGGCGCATTGGTGACACGTGTTTTACATGCATAGAACCCCCAACCACCTCATTAACTCATCTCTATATGAATTTGCCTATAAATATGGTGCCTCAGACACTTGTTTTGTATCACCAATCCTCACTCTCTCTGATACAAACTCTTTCACTATCTTATACAATTTCAAATATGGTTCTTCTCACAATGGGTGATTCTCACAAAGGAACAAGACAAAACATTGTCGCGTTTGTAAGTTTTTATCATTTTATATATTCTTTTATCGTATATATAAATTTTATAAATTAATTATTTTAGACATTTTATAAACTCTTACATTATTTATATTTTGAACTTAGGATACTAAAAGATTTAGATGTCACTCACATAACTACATTGCTCTGGACCCGTTTATCATCCCATATCAGAATATGTCAGTTTTGGAAATGTTATAAAAATCTCTAACTACGCGATTGGTTCCAAATTTATTCTTGCAATATTGGAAATATGGAGACCCGAGACACACACCTTTCATCTACCAATAAGTGAATGTACTGTCACACTAGAGGACGTGTACATGTTATTGGGTCTCCCTATCAATGGTAAGGGAGTGAATGGGTCAGTTTAACAACCCAATTCTCTATTCGAGGAATTGTTGGGCAAAGATACGGTAGAAGCAACTGGTGCTAGGGGCCAAGGTATATTACTAACTGTACTTAAAAAGCATGAGACTCTTGAGTTGAATGAAAATTCGACCGACGAAGAAAAAATAATTAAAGCTAGAAATTATATTATGATACTATTTGGAAGCCTGTTATTTTCCGAAAGTACATGGAATAGTGTAAATTTTATGTATTTAAGTTTGCTTAGAAACTTTGATAAAAATAAGAAATTATAGTTGGGATTCCGCTGTTTTAGCCCAACTATACAGTTCATTATGTAAAAATGCAACAAGCGAAAAATGTACTTTTTATGGACACGCTTTCTTGCTCCAAGCATATGGTTGGTGGAGAATGGAGTCCCAAAACCTCGTCAACAACAAAGTATTCATTTTTTCCCTACGCAACAAAGTAAGTCAATAGCTTAAATAATTTATTATTCATCATTTTCCCAAATAGATGTATAAAATTAACTTTTTTTCATTCCTTTAGGTACTGCGTAAGGGGTATGGATTACAGCAAGAATTTAAGATTCAATGTCGCTCTATACCATAATCTTTTGAATCACCTTGGCCCAGATGATGTACGTGGTACCTCTAAACTTTTCTAATTTTAAATTATTTATTTTTAACATTTTCATTATTCTGATTAATTTTTATCCACAGTTTATCTAGAGACCATATTTGGGTTTGGTCCACAGCGACCGTGTCAAGATACAGTTCGGAATGCATCAAAAAATACCATGCGATCCAACTTCTTTGTCACTTTAGCATCTCAAAAGGTCGACGCCCAATGGGGTGTTAATAATTAGAAAGATTTCGCTCTGGAATGGTGTAAGATGTGGCAAAGGTGTCACCAATATGTCTTACAATTTCCTGTTTTCCTCAACCAAATTAATATGCGACACACAAATTAGTATAGTGATTGGTACAGATCAATTACTAACCCTGAAATACATGTGTCTCACACGATGTATTTGATCAACCCACGCACACAATAGGCACAATCATACACCACACAACAACACCAACAACAAACCCACACACATCAACCTCCCACCAAACACAACGACGATACAGATCCACCAGCACCCAACCCCAAACCCAAGACCAATAGCAATACACACACATGCCCCCACACACAATCACAGTATCAAGAACAACGACCATACATCTGACATCCTAATGTGGGCCCCTCGTCATCTCACCTTAGCCCAGACATTGGTCAACTTGAAGAACATTCACCAACTTACCATCAGCCATTCTATCACCATAGCACTCAACAATCACATTACCAAACCCCACAAGATTCATTTCCTTTTTACCCCCTTATTCAGACGACAAGTGCTATCGACTCCTCATAAAACCTCACCCCCAACCAATATGACCAAACTTTAAGGGCATGGGTAACCAATTGTTTGAAAGCGGATCTTCCGGATATGATGATCTAACGGCTTTCATGGATCCCAAACACATTGACTTCACAGGGCCCTCGACCCAATCGCAACAGGAAATACGTCGAAATACACCATGAGTTAGGCGAGGACGCGGGTGCGGAACTACGAGTCGTTATCGAGTCCCTAGAGACAACTAAATGATGTGTATTTTTTATTCTCATTATGTAATCGTTTAATTATTATTGAAAATCAACTTTCATTTGCAACGACATTATCTTTTAATTCATTAACAAAAAACTCAACAAAAAAAAAAACTTTGTACCTAGGCACGCTTAGGGTAAATGGCATGCACCTAGGCGTTATCTCACTTTGTGCCTCCTTTAAAAAAAACAATGCATACCCCATCTGAGATAGCTACTGCATTATACCATTTTCTAAAACATAACTATTTACGTAATTTTTTTCGAAACATGATAATTTATGTATTTTTGTTTTAAAACATGGCTATTACTAAAAAAAAAAAATCTAAAATAGATGCCTTGGAATTTCAATGTTCAAACTTTAAGAATGTCATTTTCAAATTTGCATATAGTGTCTGATCAATGCATAGAATATAACGAACACCACCCAAAACAAATATGGGTAGATAGTAGGTTGATACATAGACTTTATGAAACTTTATAAAATGGTTCATGAAGTAAAATTATTTGTAATTGAGTATTTAAATTTGGGAAAAGTATTTAATTAGTTTCCTGAATAAACAAAACAAATATTAAGTATTTGAACTCTTAAGTGTTTAATTAGATTATTTATTAACTTTTAATTAGGCCCTTAAGCATTTAAATTTTGGTTCCTATTTTAAGTAACTGATCACAATTTGTTTAAAAAAATTGAGATCTAACTTAAAAGAAATTTAGTTGGAAAATCTAATTATAAATTTTTAACAAAAACAAGAATCAAGAATCAAGAATCAAAGTACAGTCTGTTTAAGTTTATAAACTAATTTAAAAATCTCAAAATTATTCACGGACATGAAGAATAAATAAAACAAATAATAAACGATACTTTTTCTAGAAAAGGACAAATGCTTGTTCAAAAAAAGAAAAAGGACAAATGCATACAAGACTCCATGTGATGCGAAAGAAGAAGTTCCACATACATTTGAATTCTTTATAGATTATTCTTTGCAATTTCATAACAATAAACATTGAACCCAAAAAAAACACTCTCAATGTTCTTCTCTTGATGAGGGTATATTAAAGGACTATAAATTGATTTAACAGATTCAATGAAAGGACCTCCTCCTATAATATATATAATATATGAATATCATTAACTATTTTTTACCTTTACAAAATTTGGACAGAGTATTTTTCTCTATGGAAGTGATAAAAAATGGTAAATGTGCCCTTGAGTTTTGTAGTTTACCTATTGAATTGTTTCTTCTGTTAATGTTGATTCTGATTTTGATACTGTTTCATTAGAAGCTCGGCGTAGAGAATCTCATTCCATGTATCAGGGACACCGGGCAGACACCAATGGCTACAGTCTTGATACATCAACGGCGATTTCCTTTCGTCTGATGATAGGTTATGCTTTCTATATATAGAAGGATGACCATCCTTTCGAAAATCTGTCATTTTCGTGACGTTTAAATACGTGACGCAAGTCTTCATATTCTTTAGTACTTTTTCCAAAACTCTCATCTTAGGAGGGTATTGCCTCAAGTACTTTTTGTTTTTGATCGGCACGATTTCACTGTCGCATTGTCCACCTGAATTCCATTGCCCACCGCTACAATATGATAGAATTAGAAAATATGCGAATACCTAAAATGATGACAACACCTGAAGTAGTAACAACACTTAAAGCAAATACATTGTATGGTTATCAAATCGACCTTTTTTTTTCTAATCTTATTACCTAAAATGCGAAGAAGAATAGCCTCTAAACAAGACCATAGACTTAGATGCATTTATGTTGGCATCAACCCATCTGCTCCAGGTTGTTATTGCCTTTCGAAATGCCTCCAAAACATTCAATTCATTGTACACATGACTACCTTCTTGGTAATAGTCTTTCCTGAAAAGATCGAATCGATCATGTTTACCCTTAAATACTTATGCAATATTAGAACATAAAATCAGAATAACCAATTATGTTTACCCTTTAGAAGTTTTATCATGAGTCCACCAATGGCCAGTGTTGAAGATGATTATATCAGCATCTTTATATTGATCAGATGATTTACCAACCAAATCGAGCCGAAGAGTTTCCTTCTTTGTTCCGTTTTTTACGAGAAACTCCCACTCTTGAACTAAGAACGGCGATACGAAAAGCTCGACTGAGAAGTTGTAATCCTACTACCAGACAAGGCAATCAATATTAAACATTGATACATCATGAAGATGAAATTTCACAAAGAAAAATAGGAGAAAAAAATAAAACTAACTTTGAATATGAATGAATAAGAGGTTTCTCCTTTAAAATGGACTCTTCCATTTGCTTCAAAAACTTTACCTTTGTCTTTCACAGAGTTTCTGAGAATGCAAATAAGTGATTCCCACATGTTTCTATTGATGGAATCACCAACAAAAACAAGTCTCTTGCCTCTCAACAAATTCAACATTCTCTGTCCATCCAGCCTATTAGCAGTTGCACAAATATAAATGACAGTGTAAAAATCATTGACATTTTGTTGCATATCAACAAATTGGGTTCCAAAGAAAACTTTTAAGAGTCTCCCGTCAGAGCAAGTGGGACAATCTTCATCCTACAAGCCGATTTTGTAAAGATGACTAAGGATCAACCATATTTCTTAACATGATATCAGAGTTGAAGTTTCTTTTATCGGACCACCCAACATTTATTTTCAAGCTCCAGAGGTTCCATTCCTCGACAAGATTCTCACATCGGCTTATAAGTGGGGACAATATACGGTATGAACGTAAGAGTTAGGCTCAACATTTCTTAACAGAAACATTCACAAAGCAATTTGAACATCATGAAAATTAATCTTGAACATGAAGCCAACAAAACAAATTAATTGCAGAATTTAAACAAAACTTTCTAACCTTGGGAGGCTACATCCTTTAGGTTTCCACTTCAATTTCTGGAAATCATGATCAGGTCTTCCATTGTTGATACAATTAAACTGTTCATCAATCAAACTGCAAGAACCAGGTTGATATAGAGGGTAAGATTGATCATCCTTAACCCATTTGCCATCAAAAAAATCACACTTCTTCAAAGACTCCATCATTATATGAATCTCCTGTTTCATATTCGCAGTTTGATTGGTTTTCTTCTGAGGTTTAGCTTCATCAGAAACATGAGAAGAAGTTTTATTTGTGGTTGGAACAGAAGCTTGAGTTTTGTTTCCATAAGGGGTTAGTTTGAATGTTTTTGTACTTGAGTTAGAAGAATGAAAATTGTTATTGGTAGATCTAGAAAAAGTGTTGCTAAAAGGGGAAGATGGTAATGAAGAAGTGGTTGTTGTGTTGTGGAAAAAGAATGAGAAAATGGAAGAAGAGGAAGTTTTGGTGGTGAAAAAGTTGGTGAACCAAGGAGAAGAAGGATTTGGAGAAGGAGAAAAGGCTAAGAAAAGAGTGATAGAAAAAAAAACAAGCATAAAAGCATAAGCTATGGTTTTTGTGGTTTTAATGTCTGAGTTAGGAGCATGTTTGGTGGATTCAGCCATTGAAGAAGTTTTGAGACAGACAATGAAACAATGAAGTTAAGACATGTTTGGTTGAAGAAATGGTTTACTTTATGTTGTATGAAAATGTTGTTGTCTCGTTTGAGTGGAAAAAGATGATTCACGACGGTGTTGGTGTGAAAATGAATTAATATATGATACTATTGGATGGATACATTGATTGGGATTTGATTGATTAAGAATAATGATGACTAATGAGAGTATAACATGTTTTTTTTTCGGATGAGCATCAAAACATTTGAAATTATTTATTGTATGACACCGTTGCTTCCAAGTCTGGTGTAAGTGTAAAACAATTGAAATGATCATTGTATTCATTTTTCTTAAATTATTTAATTTTTTTAAGAATAAAGGATATACACTCATTTTACACGAATTTTTTTAAGTCATGAATTCTGGTGCATACATGTATGTTTAGAGAAGAGGCGTCACCTAGTGTGGCTTGAGGCTTGACAGTGTTATTTATTAATTTTTTTAAATAAAAATAAAAGTAATTAAAAATATTTTATATTACATAACGCATGGATATTTTTTTTTGGATGACCCCTCAATCTAAGCGGGTCCCAGTATGACATAAACGGCCTCGCCTTTGCCTCACCCCTTGTTTCACTCATCTTTGTTGATTTTCCTGAGCTATTTGGAGTCTGCTCTGACTCGCTTGATTATGAGGTGCTTGATATGATAGTCTTGGTACATCAGGATCATACATCTCATCGATCATTTTGCCCCACTGTGTTGTGCTTCGAAAGAGATCGGTGCCCATGTTGTTGAAATTTGGTCTTGTTGGTTGGGATATGTGTGGGTGGGGTGGTTGATAGTATTGAAATGTTGAATCGTGATGGAAACGAATTAATGGTTCTTGTGGTGTAAGAAATTCGTATGATGGTTGGATACTTCGATGGTGTGATGTTTGACTGTATGTAGGTTAGGTGATATGGTAGGAAGGAGATTTATCATATGTGTCTTGGGTGTTGTTGTACCCCAATTTTTGCCCCTAAGATCCCTTCATCATACCATGCTGATTTAATCACAACAAGATCACATTAGGGATTTTGGTTCCCCCATATCTTTAGCTTTGCTCTTTGAGGAATCACCAAGCACCTTGACTTATTTTCTTTTGTGATCATGAATATTTTGTCTTGATTTTTATTTTAGTTAATAAAATGCAATGCTGGTTTGTCTCACTTGTTAATAATGTAGGTAAAGGCAATGAGGCTTAACAAGTTACTCCATGGGTTCATGAGTTTATTTTCATGCCCTAGTCAATAAAGCTTGAGAAGTCCAAACCTCACCATTGAAGTTGTTTTAGAAGGGATGGCATGGCAAGGTTATTTTGGTTCACTACATTTCAAAGTTATCAAAATTGATTCAAAAGTGCAAGGGATTGATTGAAGAAGTTGTCATGGTTGGACAAGGTCTTGTTCCCATTGATCACAAGTACATATTTCTCTCAATTCTCAAGATATGGAAGTAGTTTTGGTGGCTATGAGTTCTCTTTTTCATCCTCAATGAATTCTATTTACAAAGCAAGAGGGTTGGTACAAGAAGATGGTTCAAAATTAGCAAAGTTCCTCAAAGCATTTTCTTGGTCTAGGATCTAAGGTTTTGAACTTCAAAGAAGTATATCTTGCTCATATTTTGGTATTTTTGAGTGATTCCAAATACATTCTTCTCTTCAAAAGGTTATTAACAAATCACTTCAAAAGTTTCAAGGAGTTTTCATGTAGAATAAACTTGATGATGAAGAAAGATTACAAGTCCTCCAGATGAACCCCCCAATTTCTCATGTGTGACTTCAAATAATCATAACTTAGTCAATTTTTATCACCTTGATCCCACTTTTTTTCCATAATAATCTTAAGGATGTGAACTTTATCCCTTATTTTATATGCAAAGTGAGAAAATGGATGAAAGATTCCCTAAGGATACAAAAGATTATAGGTCATTTCATGATTTTTTTGCCAACTTCAACAATTCATAACTCTCTCAATTTTTGGAGATTTTGAATGGTTCAAGTTTCAAAGTGTCATTTAAGAGGTCTATTTCATGCCATATGTTTTGGTAAAGAGCAAATTCCAAGTGGAAGGCCATGTTTGCATGCAAAACATTATAGGTCACTTTTGAAGAAAATTTTGAAATATTTCTAAGTATGGAAAGTCAACCCTTTTTCTCCAACTTTGACTCAATGCAACTTTCAGCTCAAGCATCCATTTGTTTTCATTCTTTTTCCATTGCAAATATTGTAACATCATCTTTCTAAAGCATCAAGAATCATGCCCTAAGACTCCTTGAGCTGAGAATGTCATTGGTTTGAACTTGGTAACTTGAAACTGAAATTTCTTCAAAGGTTAAAATTTGAAATCATTGATTTAGCTTCTAAACACTTTGTTTCTGCACGTTTTTGCCTCTAAACATGTTTAGTGAACTTCCAGAAGTGATTAGCACAACAAAACGCGCTTTTGGATTAGTTTTGATCAAATTAGAAGTCACACTTTTCTTGTTTGCAACTTCACACGATTTCCCTCCAAACTTCATCATTTCACACGCTTGGACATTCCATTTGATTCCCTATAAATATAGGATCATTCCTCATTCATTTTCTCAAGCTTGGATAGTCAAAATCATCCTGCCAAACTTGTTCCATAACTCAAATTTCTGCAACTTCAAATTCTGTTTTCAAGCCTTTTTCAATCCAGTTTTCTATCAATTTACCTTCCTTGATCTTCCCTGAAGCTAACCATATAATTACATTCAAGAATCATGCCCTATATTGCTCCATAGAAGTCCAGTTTCAGAGCTCTGCAACTCAACTTTAATAGGTAGATTTCTCCATCAATTATTCAAAACTTTGATATCATTGTGATGTTCTCATTGCCCTGGTTCTAGTCGCAACATTTACTTTTATCTGGAAACATGTTTTGACCATGAAATTTCAAATCTCTTTACAAAACTTTCCTTCCAATTTGCTTGAGATACAGTTTATATAAATTTGTCGCGAAGATGTGGTTGTCTTTGTCTTGAAGAGACGAAGCGAATGACATAGGTCTGAGCTTCTGATTTTATAGTTTGAGAGACCTGTAATTCACGTTGGCTGGAGGTTGAAGATGACCAACGTGTCATCTTCCAACCAATGAAGGCACGCCATATGTTTTATTTTGAAAATCTGATTTAATTAATGATTTTATGCTTTATTCACTAATGACCATGATATGCACAGCGCGCCAGATCCCTTAGATTTGACTACTAACGCGTTTTAACTCTCATCCAATGGTCCACATATTTTTGATTTTATTTTTCGTTTCTGATTTTTATATTTAATTGTTTTAAATTTCAAAAAATCATAGATAATTCATTTTAGTCCAAAAAATCTGAAAAAATTATGAAAAATATTTTTGATTTTTCTCCTTCTGAATTTTATTTTTTCACAATTTTATTTTGTGTTTTGATATTTTTTTATAAATTTTCACTTTATTTGATTTTTTTAAATGTTTAAAAATACTTTTATGCATTTTTAAATTCTGAAAAAATTATGGAATGATTCAATGACATTGTGACAAATATTGGTGACCTCATTCATTTTTTATTTCTGACTTTGGTATTTTTTTATCATTTTTGGGTCATTATACTCATTTCCTTTAATTTTAAAAACAGTTTCTGACTTAAAAAAATTACCAAAAATTTTATAAAAATATTTTAGTTCATTTATGATTTTTCTATGGTCTTACTTTTTATTTCTTGATTAATTTGAACATAGTTGATATTTTTCTCTTTTATTTCTATTTTAAAAGTTTTTTTAATGTATATATTAAATGCAATATTATTTTGTGATTATTTTCTGGCTGATCTTGGGTTGAACTTTTGATTATGAACTTTGTTAACATCATTGGATCCATGGTATTGAGTTTAACTCCATAAAAATGGATGAATGATTTTAATAATAGTTTAATTAAAATTTAATTCAAATGTGGTTTGTTTGTTTCATCCCCTCTCTCTTCATCTTATTCCCCTTTCTCATTGTTTTACATGTTATGGTATAATGATCTCTCTGTCATTTATCCAAACAAGAAATACATTGATTGCTATTGATCAGCCTCAAAATAGGTGCGACTTCTATATAAGTCCACTTACGATTGCTTAACATGACGCTAAATTTTGTCCCGATTCAAATAAATGATCATTCGTGGCCCAAACCTATGTTTGTAAGTCGAAGTATGTTAATTTGATCTCTTTGATCCAATAACCTTGAGATTTATTGTGTGGAGGTTTTGGTTCTACCAATCCTCTAATAGATCTACAACACTTTTGGTCAACGCGGATCACTTAAACATCATTGATCATTAAATGGTAATTTTGGTGATTCCAAGTGGATGATATACTTGACAAAAAGCAAATACAACTTGTTGTATGGAGACTTTGGTTCTACCAATCCTCTAATGAGTTACAAATGCAAGTTTCAAGATAGTCATCCAACTAACCACTAACTATTAAATTGTTTTTACTTTATGCCCTTTTTTTTTTATGCTTTATGTATCATTTACTTTAAGCATTACATTTCATGTCATTTTATTTTGTTCACTTGAGCTTTTTCTTTTCTCTTCTAAGACACCTAATAATCAACATGAACCATAAAAAACCCTTTAATGATACTTGGACTATTTGGTTACTATCTTTGGTATTATGGAGCATTGGACTTCTTGGACTTGAGATTAGAAATCTTGGCCTATGTTGGAGACCCTGTGACCTTAATTGATATTTTGTATGTTTCTTGTTGGTTAGATGGTTCTTATCCCTAGCTTTTACCTTATGCCTTAAGATAGTCTCTTCTTCTCCTCCCATCTTCTTTAATTTCAAAAATCTTCTCTCTCCTTTTGAAAATTCTTCTTGTTTCTTTTAAACTTGAACCACTTTCATAATAAACTTGGACTTAGGTCCATGCATTTTCAAAACCTTTTCATAAATAAACTTCAATCAACTTAATGATA